CAATGTGTTAATGTATTTTTTTTAACCAGTAAATTGCTCACTATCTAGTTCAGAGACTGGAAGTTCATGATAACTTTTTTGGATTCCTGGTGATGTGGCAGAAATCACCAACTCAAATATCATGTGCACTGAGGATTAATCTTGCAGCTCTATTAATATTAATACAAATTAAATGTTTCCATGAGTTTGGATTGGCGAGTCGGGGAAAAACCACAAGAGAAAACTGAGGCCGCCTGCCTTACAGTGTCTCCACTCATTTCTCCACTGGCCTTCCTCTGTACATGGTCAATTAGAATTGAAAATCCTGTGCTGATTTCATTCGCTGGAATTTTTAAGCAGGTCAGGAAGAAAGATGTTATTGAAAGGAAAAAATCTCATCTAAATAAGAAAGGAGCACGTGGCCATCTGGTCTCAGCTATCCATATAAAAAGTTATTTTAGCTGAACTGTGGGCTTGATGTTTAAAAAGATGTGCCAAAAATCAACCCCAAATCTGTGTACGGTAAAATATCCCAAATGTTTCTTTTTAAGCCTCCAAATATGCTCATTTCCTATCTGTGATTCATGAGTCCATTTGACCCCAGCGCGTCCCTGAGCTTGACTGAGTTTCAGGCAGGGGAACGTTCAATCACTCTTAGAACACTTTTCCCTCATGGCATCTCCACAGGACCGTAGATCTTTTGGAAACTGTGAAAATATCTTTGATAGTTTTCACTCCAATTAATTTTGAGTGTTGTCTGCACGTAGACTGGGAAGAATATAATCTGAGGCATGAAGCAACCAAACCAGTTCCCCTGCTTTGCTGAGTCCCGAGGCTCCTGTGCATGGGGCGGAGGCCTCCACTGAGTAATCCCACGCCTTGGGCCTACAGGCTGAGTTTTCTAAAAACTGAACCTGTCTTTTCATGAGGAGAAATCCTGTGTCCGTCTACTTGGGGAGATCAGCTTCAGGATGGCACGAAACAGAGACCTTGCATCTAAAACAACATTTTATACTGTTGGCCAAATTGGAGTCATGTCTTTCGATAGGATTACATTTTTTGGCTATGAGGCATTTGCAATAATTACATCGCTGATACGTTAATTTAGCCAGTATCTGAGTATGCCCTTCTGCCATGATTATAATATCAACATATGCTAAGCAAGAGTATAGGTTTTAACTAAAGTCTTCAGATACATAAATAATTGAATTAGGAATATTCTAACATATGAAACACGAGAATCTTGATATATCCCTGCCATAAGATACCATTGGTTGTTTTTGTGTATTTACTCTATTTGTTCTGCTGTTTCACATAAATCATTACTATTGTACAAGAAGAATAAACTGTGCTATAGTAAATTGTTCTTTCTCTGTTATGCTCTGAAAAACCATTTGTTCTTGAATTGGTGTTACGTAGTTCAACTATTTCAATCAAGTCCATTATCTGCCTTTCTTTGAAAGATGCCTTTTTAGTAACCTGTATCCCCCAGTGGGCAATGTCACGTTTTGTTTTTAGAAAGTATGTGAAACTTAAGTCCAACTATTCATTTTTTTTAAAAATCTCTGATAAAACAATTACATAATTCATCCTCAGGCAAGAACTCCACTATAGGTTGGAAGAGCTGTTTATGTGAAAATTATTGAGTCAGGCCCAAGACTTTCTCAAAGTTATTTATTAGCTCATACTGGCGTCTCACCTAAATTGTGTAGCTTGTTTTTTTTTTTTTCCTAAGTACAAAATGTGTCCATTCTTTAAGCTAAATACTTTTCTCAACAATAGGAATACGACAGCAAAAAAAGAACAAAACACTTTTTCACTTGTTTTAAAACAATCACATAATACATCGGCAAAAGTATTCTCAGTAATGTGTGTGTTGATGTATAAATAGTACTGTTCATATACATATGCCTCGCAAAGCCTTTCAGAATTAATCCTTTTTAAAAAGGATGCAAGAAAAAAGTATTTAGAGCAAATTCCAAAATTAAGAAAATAATGTATCAACTACTTGGTAAGAACTGGTAAGTACACTCAACCATTCTGTATTAATGAAGGTTAATGTAAATTAAATATGAAAAATTGGTAATTAAGAGACGTTATGTATACACAGTCATCCCGTATTTATAGCTCAGATATAGCAATATGTTTTGGTAAAATCAATACACTTTGTTCTATTTGAGTAACATAAAATAAAATAATGTACTTAAATCTATACATTATTAACCATCTAGACACTTGTTTTGGGGATAACTGCTTAGTGTATAAACCCATAGAACAGAAACCCTGTGCTGGAGAACGAAATTTGAGCCCAACTCTCTTCTAACCCAGAGCACATGACACGAGCTGCACTTTTAAATCATTTGTTTATCATCGTCCCTGAAGCAGTAAGTTAACATTAGAAGTGATTCAATGGTGACAAAAATTGTAATGACAAATAAGAACCGCCAAGTCGTAACACATCAGTACTGTCGCATGTTTCACCCCAAAGATTTCAAAACGCTCACCATTTCTACATCCGATCATGCCACTGAAATTCAGCCTCCTCTCCAGCGTTCAGCCAGCACATTAGCAGGGCTCCCTAGAACCAGCCAACTCTGCCTGACTACATAGATCTGGATAAACGTGCCCAGGCTGCCCCACAAACACATCTTCAAGAGAGAAAGAGCGACTAATAAAATAGCCCTTTTCCTCCGGGTGTCGGTTAACCCAGCAAACACGTGAACTTCCTACGGCACACACCCAACAGACCCTGGCGCTGAGGCGACCGAAAATGTTACCCACAACGGCGAAATTTTATATGTGATGACATCACCGGCAAACCTGGGTTTCTCTGCGATATAGTGATAGAATTGCCGTGTGTCTCTTGAGTGTGTGAGTGTGTGTGAGTGTGTGTG